CTTTGGGGAATTAGGGTTAGGTGTGGTCACAAGGGTGGGTCCCTCATGAGGAGATTAGTATCCTTATGAGAAGACACCAGAGCCTGGCTGGTGTGGCTCAGTGGCTGAGCGTCAACCCATGCACCAAGAGGTCACTGGTTCGATTCCTGGTCAGGACACATGCCTGAGTTGTGGGCTCGATCCCCAGTAGGAGGAGGCAGCCACTGGATGTTGATGCTTCTCTCATTCATGTTTCTATTTCTCTCTCCCTCTCCCTTTCTCTCTCCAAAAAAATCAATAAAAATTTTTTGAAAAATTAAAAGAAGACACCAGAGAGCTTACACACTCTCTCTTTCCCTCTTTCCTTTCCTCCCTCCCTCCCCTGGCACACACAAGGAAAGGCCACTCCAGAACACAGCCAGGAGGCAACCACTTACAAGGGAGGAAGAGAACTCTCACCAGAAACTGAATTGGCCCACATTGCTTGGACGTCTAGCCTCCAAACTGTGAGAAGTAAATGTATGTTACTAAAGCCACCCAGTCGATGGTATTTTGTTCTGGCGGCCTGAGTGAACAGCAAGAATTCTCTAGACTAGTCATGGTGCCTGAGCCTTGGATATTTTCATTCTGAAAGAAGACCACTCTTATGCAGTCAGAGCAATATGGAATGTGCCATCAAAAAGGAGAAGCAGAGGCTTTTATGTTTTCAATGTTTAATTAAACATTAAGGTTTAATGTTAATTGTTCAAGTGAAGAGAACCAGTATTGTTACATGATCTCATGCATGGTTGTTTTGTTAGGAGTAGGAATTGTCTGAACTAGACTGTAAAGTACTTTAAGTACTCAGTAGGTAGCCGTGGGAAATGAATGACCACCTCCAGTCTTCTTTGGAGGGTAGGAGTTATAAAAGTGTATTAGTCAGGCCCTGGTCAAGTAGCTCAGTTGGTTAGAGCATCATCTTAATACACCAAGATTGTGGGTTTGATTCCCAGTCAGGGCACATAAAAGAATCAACCAACAAATGCATAAGTAAGAAGAACAACAAATAGATGTTTCTCTCTCTCTCTCTCTCTCTCTCTCTCTAATCAATAAATAAAAACATTTTGTTAAAGTATATTAGCACTGGCCAGGGCGACTTAGTGATTACAGTGTTGTCCCACACACCAAAGGGTAACTTGTTCAATTCCCAGTCAAGGGCATGTACCTGGGTTGCAGGTTTGATCTGGGACCACACTCAGGGTACATGCAGAAGGCAACCGATGGATATGTCTCTCTCATACCAATGTTTCTCCCCTCTTCTCTCTTCCCCTCCCTCCCTCCCTTCCACTCTCTTTAAAAATCAATGGAAAAAATATCCTCGGGTGAGGATTAACAAAAAAAGAATGAAAAAATATATTATAATTAAACAAGAAAATAAGTGCCTCCTGCAATAAAAGCAATTCCTGAAGCATGTCATTTTTAGCACTATAATGATGTCCATGGTACAGCTTTTAGCTCCACTGGAAATGACAATGCAAGTGTCACTCTAAACATCATATATCATAAGTGGCATATTGTGTGTTCTCATCCTTTCAGACCAACTCAAATGTCTTCTCTTCTGTGACTTTTCTAAATGACATTCGTAGATTTTTACATTCCATGATCCCACATAGAATGCATTCATCTTTCCTCAGGGCTTCCATTGCAACTTGCTTTCACCTCCGCAAGGCATTTATCATATCATATTATAGGAAACGGTGTCCTTTCTGTCCTGCTAGATAGTGAACTCTCTGAGGGAAAGGCCATGGACATAGAAGCTACTCAATAAAAGCTTGAATGAAGAATGAATGAATGAGTGAATGCTCCTTTATATATGACTCATTTCTCATTTACCTCACACTTCCAAAGACTCTGACTCAGCCACCTGACTGAAGCTCTCTCTGCCTCCATCTGCCCATCTATTATATGATACTGTGAACAATAGTAAACATTGTCATTTTTGTTTTTCTGACCTCAGAATCTTTAATAAGCCATAAGACCTATGCAGAGCCAGTAGGCTCTAAAGGCCACATATAAAGATGTATGTGACCTTATTACTTTAAAAATATCTGTCCCAACTGTTGTTTTGTCCATATTATCCTCAACCAAGGACATTTTTCCATATTTTGTTCAGATAGAGTGGGAGGGAGAGAGAGAGAGAAACATCAATGTGAAAGGGCCATATCGAGTGGCTGCCTCCTGCACGACTCAACCAGGGCCAAGGACAAACTGCAACCGAGGTACGTGCCCTTAGCGGGAACCAAACCTGGGTCTCCCTGGACCACAGACCGACGCTCTAACCATTGAGCCAAACTGGCGAGGGCACTGACCAACTCTTTTTAAATAAAATAAAACCAGTTACCTTTATAACAATCCAAATGTTAAACTTAGTTAAATAATGAGCAGACTATGTTTTCAAGATAGATTCTGAAGCAGAACTTTCCATCTGCTACTGATTCCATTGTGTGGCAGAATGAAGAAGGAAGCAGTTTTATCCCAAGTGGCTGCATGCCCCTCATACATCTTTTTTCTCTTCTTTTATGCTGGAATCCTGCCCATGTTTTACTTCTTATGAATGTTGATCACGGTTGACCATGTCCTACATGCTACCCCCAAGGAAATCTCCTCGGAGCATGGGGGGTTAAACTGTCAAAAACCTAACAAGACTGCAGGCAAAGGGATATGTTATGGTAGAATGACATAGAGTGAGAGTAACTTTTTAAGCAAGGTTCTTGGTCTCATATAACGCTAGGGAGGCAGCCATCTCTGAGTCAGCTATGATGGATATGGCCATAATAAGTAGTATGTATAAGAGACTAAAGAGATTCTGGAGTGTTTTTTAAATGAAGTTCTTAAATTAATTTATTTTTCCTACCTCCCTCCCTCCTTTCCTTCCTTCCTTCCTTCCCTCCTTCCTTCCTTCCTTCCTTCTTCTCCTTCCACAAGTACTTAATTGAATATTTAGTATGACAGAGGCTTGGGGGGAAACAGCAGTGAATAAGACCAGGCCTCTGTGCCCTATAGAGCTTACACTCTGGTAGAAGAAATAAAAGATAAGTAAATAAATAATTTTTAATTTCAGGAATAAACTATTTTATGAAAAAGAAAAATGAACAAAGAGTATGGTAATTTTTAAAAAGGAATTAAACATAGAATTACCATACGATCCACCACTTCCACTTCTGAGTGCGTATATACCCAAAAGAATTGAAAGCATGGTCTCAAACAGATGTTTGTACACTCGGATTCATAACAGCATTGTTTATAACAGCCCAAAGGTGGAAGCAACCCATCAAAGCCCAATGATGAATTAATGGACAAAATGTGGTCTATACATATAATGGAATATTATTCAACTTAAAAAGGAAAGCAATTCTGACACATGCTATAACATGGATGAATCTTGAAGACTTTAGGCTAAGTGAAATAAGTTAGTCACTAAAGGAAAAATACTGTATGATTCTATTTCCATGGGGTTCTTAGAGCAGTTAAAGTCATAGAGACAGAAAGTAGAACAGTGATTTCCAGGGGCTGTGGAGAAGGAAGAATGGAGAGTTTTTGTTTAATGGGTACAGATATGTTTGGGAAGATGAAGAGGTTCTAGAAATGGATGGTGATGATGGTTGAACAATAATATGAATGTACTTATGCCACTGAACTATACACTTAAAAATGGTTAAAATGGTAAATGTTATACTATGTATATTTTAACATGGGACAACATAGGAGATAACTTTGGAATTCTGTTCTGATTACAATAGAATACCTTTGAAGGAGTTTAATCAGTTCAAGAACATGATCCTATTTACCAGTTTGAAAGACCATACTGGCTGCTATGTGAAAAGTAGATTGAAAGGGAGGAGACTTGGAAGCCACAAAACCAACTAGGAAACTATGGCAATTGTCTAGACGAGTGACTGGTGGCTCAGATGATGTTGAGATAATGGGGCAAGTGATGAAAAGTGGTTGAATTAGGATATATTTTCAAGGTAGAGTCATCATGACTTGCTGATGGATTTGATGTGGGGTGTGAGGGGTGATGTCTCAATTTTTAACTGAGCAACAGAGTGAAAGGGGGTACCATCCACTGAGATGAAAATGGCTGTAGCAAAGCTTGTTGAGGAATGGTAAGGGGCATGGGAGGCAATTAAATGATGTTCTATGTAAAAATTAAATCATAAACCCAGATGCTAGCAGAGTGCTAGCACGTATAAGCCATTTCTTAAATACGTGAATGAATGAAACAATGAATGAATTGATTAAATTACAAGTAAGTGGGGGGAAGGAGGAAGGAAGAAAACCAATTCTAAATTTTACAAAGTATGAAGACTATCTTGCCAAAAGACATGATCCTAAAGACTTCAGGCTAAAATTCAGAAGTACTGAGTTCCAGTTTCAGAGAGTATATCTAAACCTCAGATCCTCTTCTCAGCTTTTATTCCGGAACCTCCTATCTTTCCTCCTTTGCAGGGAATGTGCTCACACATTTATTCATCCCAGCCAGTAAGCCCATAGCCCTTGCATCCCTCTGTGTAAACACAGAGCTCACAACCCTGGACAGGAAACAGCCAATCAGTAAGCTCCTCCAAATTTCCATTCACCAACCATGCCTTCCCCAACCCAACACACACCCTAGGCATCCCAACAGGCTTGTGGAGCTGGGCCCTCAGCAGTCCAGACCAATTCCCACAGAGTCAGTCCCCCAGAGAGTCTCAATTTTTAAGGGCTCCGTTTGAAGCAAGCAGGAGACAAGAGTAGCTTGTTCCATGAATTAGCTAGACTTGCTTTGACCCACTAACTGCTCTTACTGAGCCTCCAGTCTGGTTTCTACTGATAGATGCAAAGGAAGGGGAGAGCAATGAGTGGGAATAAAATATGTCAAAGTCACCTTCACAATTGAGGCTGCACAATGCAAAATGAGAAAGACCTGTGAAAATGCTGCAAAACAGCCTTGCCTCTCAGGTTTCCACCCATTAACTGATTTTGTACTGGCTCTTCCACAGGACTGAGGGTACAGAGCATGCCTACATCAGCCCTCTTGTCTGTTTCTTTTCCGGAAAAGAGTATCTCACCAGCGACCTTCTGGACAAGCTCCCCACAAAGCCCTCTTGCCTCTCCCACCAGTGGCATGCCCAGCAGCTCAGTTACAGCCTCTTCAGTGCAGACATCTCTACCCCCCAAGAATGTTTTAACAGAGTCCACAGAACAGGAAACCACCTTGACTTGGGAAGGCACAAACACAGACAACTTATCAACAAGCAGTGGGGTCCACTTAACATCCATACCCACCAAACACAGCTCAGGCATTCCAGAGGCAAGTGTGCCAGCCACAGGGTCGAAGTCCCCCCCTGAGTCTCCTGCACTCCCCTCCCCTCAGGCTCCAGCCTCATCACTTCCAACCTTATCAACCTTACCACCCCCAACCCTATCAACCTCACCACCCCCGACCCTATCAACCTCACCAGCCCCGACCCTATCAACCTCACCACCCCCAACCCTATCAACCTCACTACCAGAGGTTTCTTCTGTCTCTGACAACGCCAACCACAGCTCCACTGAGACCAGTATCAAGACCACAGGAGTCCCAACCACACCAGAGTCCCCAGCACAGGAACACAGTTCTGGCCACACGCCCACTCCCCACGCCACGTCGGAGCTGGTGCCTATGGAGACAACGCCCCAAACAACTGTGCCAGACAAATGTATTCTGGTAGATATCACCGCCTCCCCGAAGATGACCATGGAGCACGCACTAAGTTCAGGTGAGTCTCAATCGAGAACACTACTAGCATTGTGATATTAAGAAAGCAGTTCAGTTAACCAAACACAATTGATCAACTTTGAGTTTTGGAGTGTAACACCTGAGCTGAAGTATAATTCCCAAGAATTTCCACAAGAGTGCAAACTTCATAGTCACTGAGTAATTTCCACATGATATCTCATTAATTGTGGCCAATTGCAGTTTCATGATTTGTCTTTACATATGTCACAGGGAATGTAAATGAAAGAGACTAAAGAGTAAAAGGATTAATAGTATGGCTTTTGGTCAAGCTTCCCAGGTTTCAATTCTGGCTCTTGACCTCGGGCAAGCTACTTCATCTCTTGGTGCCCTTATCCATCCTCATCTATAAAATGGGAATAAAAGAGGTTCTACGGCATACGGTTCTTGTGGAGATTAAATGAGATGATATAGAAAGTGCTTAGAACAGTTCCTAATGGGGAGTAAGTGCTCTGGAGATGTCAGCTGTTGTAATTTTGCTCAGTGTACTAACAAAGTATTATAAAACATAGTCAAAAAAAAGTAAGGTGGAGGTGTAGAGAACTTGTTTATTTTTTATAGTCATTTATATATTTCATGAGAAACATGATTAATTTTACAGGATGTAATATTTGCTTTTATTTTCCCAGCAACGCTGTGAAGTTAGTATTATTTTTATCTTGATTTTGCAATCTTAGAAATTATGCTGGAGAGAGATTTAGGGTCTTTTCTGAGGTCTCATGAATCTGGCATTGGCATGGAAACTGTAAACTTTAGGGCAGTAAACAGGAAAAGGATTTAGTGGGAACATTTGGAATCTTGGTTGCGAAACAGTGAGGTGAGAACAGCCAGAAGGTGAAGGGGAAACATGGAGTGAGAGGGGAATATTCTGTACAGACCACCTGGGGTCAAAGGAATGGCTGTAAGAAGAAATTAACATCTCTGAACAAATGATAAGTAATCACTATGAATAGAACTGTTAGACTGTGGAGGTGGGGAAAGATAGAGCTAAGATTAACAGGACATAACTCCTTATGGAAGAGCTCACAGTCTACTAGGGAATAAAGTCCCAAATAATTGCGAATACTTATTTCAAAGACCCAGTATATCAGTGAAAATCCCAACAAGAAAGTGAGGTGTAATCCAACTGGCATAAAGGAATTAATTACAAAGGTTTGGTTGGGGTACAGGGGAACCACGGGAGACCATAATGGCAGAGCTGTATGAATCAGACCTAGGAAGACAGAAGTGTAACCAGAACCCAGAGGAGAAAGTCTTGTAGAATAGACAGCCTTCAGAGGAGCAGTGACTCTTGGTTGAGAGACACAACTAACCCAAGGTTAACCTCCTGAGAGTTAAGGGAATCAGTGCTCTGCCCTCACTCTCCCCCTTCCCTTTGATATACAGCCCGAATCCAAGGACAGGGAAACCCATTGATGTGGTCCATACAGGTCAGCCTCCTGGAGGCCTGGTCAGAGAGCAAAGTGGGGAAGTGTGGGAGTGGATCTGGAGAGGCAAAAGGGAGAAATCTGGCACAACAGATCCAAATGTGGATTCCTCTGTGCAGTCCCCATCCCATCAGCACCTTTCATACTTCCAGCCAGCACTTGTCACACTGCATTTAGATGTGCAGTTTCTGTCTCTGTCTCAACCCCCATATCCCCTTGTGCTTGATGTTTTCCATGCTCCCAACATGAGAGAACATCTCTAGCATAGTCCATGGACCTGGAGCAGAGTGGGTGTTGACTTGACTCAGTATCCGAAGGACTGTCCCTAACAAAGATGCTGCCAAAGGACAGGCTTGCAGGCAGTGGTCCCATCTCTTTTCTCTTTCCTGGTTCTGCCCTCAACCCCACCTCTGTGCACTGCTTCTTCAGTTTTCTAACTGAGCTTCCTTTCGCTGTTGTCTACTCACTCCAGTGCACTCTAGGCACGGTGGATCCAGATTCGGAACCTAGCATGCAAGATGTCCATAATCTGCCTGGCTGGGTGGCTCAGTGGTTGAGCGTCAACCCATGCACCAAGAGGTCACTGGTCCAATTTCAGGTCAGGGCACATGCCCAGGTTGTGGGCCCGATCCCCAGTGGGGGGCATGTAGGAGGCGGCCAACTGATGTTCTCTCTCTTTCATGTTTCTATCTCTCTCTCCCTCTCCCTGTCTCTCTCTCTAAAATCAATAAAGAAAAAGAAAAAAAAGAAAAAGAATCTCTATAATTTGATCAATGTTACTACTTTCCACAAGTGCCCTACTTTCATGGGCTAGAGTATCTGAAATACTCCTGTTCTAATATTCTGGCTTGTGTTTTAGATCATGTATCTTGATTCCCTTAACTCTAAGCCAGCAGGGTCAAGAGGCAAAAAATTAGTGTCAGAGCTGGGTCATGATCCTTTATAGATCTAGGGAAGATGCAGCCAGTAGGAGCTCCAGAGTAAATGAATGAAGGAACGATTGAATGACTGGAAAAAAGATAAATGTGGCAGGTTAAAGGGAGATTGCTGAACACGGGCCAGACTCTGTTTCAAAGAACAGAGGATTTATCCCCTATGATCTATTAAATCAAAAAATGTGTATTGTGCATCTCCCAGGACCCTGTGATTGATGCACAGAAGCATAAGGAGTATAAGACATGTCCTTTGATATTTCATAGTTTAAGTAGAGAGAAAGGGCCCACGTCACTCATAATATGAATGAGAATGAACCGAGGTAAGTGGAGGGATCTTTGGGCAGATGTGATACAATCTGCTCATTTCAAGGGTGAAGAAATTATGTCTCAGTAGTTTGGAGCACCTCACCCAAGGTCACACCACAACTGTGGAAGAGCTGGGCCCAGAGCCCAGATCCTTAAACCACAATCAAGTCTTCTTTCAACACCCATCACTGCTGCACTGCCCCCTCTCAGCCCCACATGCCAAGTGGCACCTTGAGACTGTGCTCACAGGTTACTATTTGAGGATGGTTTTGCCTAGAGATCTTTGTGCTGCCTTAATAGTGGCAGTAATAACATCACAGTTATTTCGCATGTTGTCTTATTCTGTGCAGGTTCACACAGCATATTTCTATTAATCCAAGAATTCATCCATTCGTCATCACTAATGAGTAATTCTAAAAGAAGGTTAATGCTAATGGAGTTAAATTTGACCAGAGGAATTAGGGAAGATTTCATGCTGGTGCTGAGTTGTAGGAGATGAAGGGAATTTAGGCCTAAGGAGTCAATTGGGACATTTGAGTGCCAAGGTAGGGAACCAGTAGCAATAGTAGTTAATGCTGCACACACCTCAGTTGTAAGCACCAAAACTGCCCTTGTCAAGATATCCAGTGCCTTCTCCTTTTCCAAGTCTGAGGTTAATTCTTAGGCCTGGCTTGACCTGAACTATCAGCAGTGTCTGACGCAGACGGTCACTGCCCTCATCGTTAAATCACTGTCTCCCCTTGACCCCCAGGACACATTCTCTTCACCCACCCCATGACTGCTCCCTTAGCCTCTGTTTCCTTACTTCACCCTCATCTTCCTGCACTGGTGCAGCCCAGGACCAGTACTGCCCTCCTCTCCCCCTGACCTCTCTATACTCACACCCTCTCCTCTCCACACTCACCCCAGAGATGATCTCATCCTGTCCCATGACTTAACATGCCATCCATATGCTGATAACCCTGACATGTAAAATTCCATGCCTGTTTTGTTTCACTAAACTAGAGACATGCATATCCAGCTGTCTAACTCAGACTCCCCACGTGGAGGCTCATAGGCACTACACACTTAATATGTATAAGATGAATTTCTGTTTTCCTCGCCCCTTGGTCTGCTCCTCCCTAAGCCTTTCTCTCTCTTCTTTCAATTCCTCACCCAAAAACCTTGGACTAATTCTAGATTCCTTTCTTTTTCACATATTCCGCATCCAGTCCATCAGAACCCAATCTCCCCTCACCTCTCTGTCATCGCTCACACGTGCAACTTCAATATTCTCACAACTGGTCTCACTATTCACCCCACCCGTGCCAGAGAGATCCTCTTTCAAACCCAGGAGAGATCTGTCCTCAGCTCTAACACTCCGACTCCTTCCACTGGGTCAGGGCAAAGCCCAAGTCTGTCATGCCCGCCGTGTTCAGCGTGACCTGAACCCACACAACCTCCTTCCTCTCACTCCCTTTCTCTTTTACCTGCAGACACACTGGCGATCTTACTGTGTCTTGAACAGACCAAGGATGCTTTTGCCTCAGGAGCTTTGTACTTACCATTTCCTGTGCCTAAAACATTCTCCCACCAGGTCTTTCAGGGCCTACTCCTTGTCAGAGATGACAGCTAACCGAAGTCTTGACTGGTGAAAGGGAGCCTTTACATGCACTCTTGTCTGAAATAGTAATCCCATCACTGTCGATCCCTTTACCCTGCTTCATTTGCCTTTGGATCACTTACTGCTCTCTGATTTTATCTCATTTATTTGGTGGGTAGGTGTCTGTTTTCTGCCATGAGACTCCATGAAAGCAAGGACCTTGTTTACAAAGAGGAAGATGTATGTTACATCCAACCCCTAGAACTGAGCACCAATAACATTTGGTTAATAGATGAATGAGAGTCAACAACCAGTTCCAGGAAAGATATTTAATCTTTCTGAGCCTCAGCCTTTTCATCAGTAAGATGGGAAAAGAACAGTATCCACATGACGGTGTTATTGTCAGGTTTAATTGAAATAATACATTTGCAGTATAGTAGCTATTGAGCAATGGCTCAGTCGATACCTATGATTATTATTTTACTATGATTTACTGTTTTATGATTTATCATTATTGTTACTATCTTGCTATTGCTCTTCTTCTTCGTGTTGTTGTTACGTTATCATAATGAAGGATGCCTACCATCTTCAAAAACTTTTATTGAGCTTTTACAATGAGTCAGGCACCTGGCTAGGTAGATTCAGCAATGAATAAAACAGTCACTTCCTCATGGAGTTTACAATGTTAAATTGTACACCACATGGCAAATAACCTAGCTTGGTGGATCCCAGA